AAGCCACTTTTACGCAAATTAGGGTTTTCAGGCTGTTTTCACCTAACATTAAAAAATTCACTATTCACTCAAAAAACATCAGAACAAGTTCAAAACCTCAGAACGTGAAGTATTTAAGCTATTCTATATCCTGTTTAGAGAAGATCTCGCAATAAATTTTAAAAAAACCCTAAGGTTTTTCCAAAACGGTTTCTGGAAAACCCGTTAATAAAAATGTGTTTCTCGATTTTTTCGATCTGATAATCACGTTTAGCGAACAAAATTAACCATATCCTGAGGTTTTGAGCTTGTTCTGATGTTTTTTGAGTGAATAGTGAATTTTTTAATGTTAGGTGAAAACAGCCTGAAAACCCTAATTTGCGTAAAAGTGGCTTTTCCGTAGAATTTTAACACTTTGTCTCCGAACAAATATTGAGACTTGACTTAACATAGTCGATTATCTATAGTCCATCAGCCCTTAGGACTACCAAGAGTCACCGGGTGCCAGTCTTGGGACTCGTCAAAAATCCGATACAACGTCCGAACCGCAGAAAATCAAGGTCTCAATTTACTCCCATTTTGAAGACAACACCTCGAGCTATCAGCTCATGAAAAAACATCAATACATTCCTATGTGAATATACCCAAGCTGGTTTTCGAAAGATCCTCTGAAAAACCAGCTTCAGAAAATTGTTCAAAACTCGCTTTTGCTTACAGAAATATGTGGTCAGGTCTGTAGTTTCTAAAACTGAAAACCGCACCTCTCTGTCTATTACCTATCAAAAGTTATTCAAACAGCAACCGATGCTCTTTGTATTTTGGAACGGATAGTAGTGATTCTTGTTATTTCGTAAGTGACTAAATAGCAATGGTTTCATTTTTCAAGTCGAATGCATTTCTACGAGTTTTAAATCAAATCAGGTTTTTTTCTTCTGTTTCTGAGGAAACAAGTTTTAGGTCTCTGAAGAACAAAAATTTTGTGAAAAAGACGAATGATGTTCCTCACTGTACAAAAAGCTTACACAAGGTCTTATGAACATTTAATAATAATTATTTGACGTTCACTATGAGGAACTGGTAACTAACAGAAGTAAAATGAATTGCTGGATTCCAGTGAATATTTTGCTGAATAAAGATCGTCGTTATCGCACGAAGGAATGCCCTGTAAAAAAAAGAGAAGACTTTTGATTAACAGTTCACCACGCTTTCAAATACGTTTCTCGATGGTGACAAATAGACTTACCTCTATGGTAATAACTTCAACCGAAATTTTTCGAATCGCAGAGTATATCTTTTGCTACCATATAATTTTGTTTTACTTAAAAATATTCATTGCTCGTTTATTATATGAAGCAGCATATTTTCTACAAGTTGTTTGTTTTTGAATAAAACTAATGAAACTCTTCGAATCAAAACGGGCAGAAGCGGTGGGGTTCTTTTTCCTTTTTGTGATTCTATTTCAAAAAACAGACGATCTTTAACAAGGATGTAATTCACGCGGCAAAACTTGAACTTATTTGTGAGCCTAAAAGTGTGAAGTTATAGTGAGTACATTATATATGAAAATAAATAAGCAAGTCATCCCAGTTCTTAATCAAAATTCAAATGCAATGAAAATATTAAATGAAGCGGATTCTTCGTCATCTGAAGTTATTTTGTAAGTCTTTATTCAAAAAATTATATTTTACAAGCACTTAACGTTATATGTTGATCGAATGAAATTTACATTCAAAGCAACAACAAAAATATTGATATACGTTTTGCATCATTCATATTTAATGGAAATTTATGTGTTATATCAACACCACATACAGTTGCATCAGCTAAACAACCAGCTAATGGACCACAATCTTTAGTAACAGCACAACAAGTATCAGATGTTGCAACATCAACATTTTTAATTCTGATATTATGATTTACCCAAGATGTATTAACTCCATCTCCAACCTATGTTGCTGCTGTTCTTCTGACTGAACGTAAAACAGTTCCAAAATTATTAACTTGTTCTTCTTGTCCATTAAACAATCGGTGACCTCTCAAAAGGCGAAATTAATAACCCTACATTTATCTTCATCTTAAAAGCACAATATTTCAAAATTATTCTAATTCAACAAAGGATCGATTGCTGAAAAACAAAAGTTGAAACTAGTAGATTATTAAATTATATTAGCTTATCACTAATAAGAGTGGACGGTGAAGCGGAGAAATTATGTGCCCTATTAAACGAAATGAATATCGTCGATGTTGTTAATACAAATGTTATTTTGACGATTATTCGAATTTCAGTATTAATATGAAGTCAATGTCATTGACATGAAACTGAACCCACTTGTCCTTTAAATCAATGTTCTTCATTAACATTCGCGTTACCTCTTGATAGTCAAGATGTGCAAGTTATTGGGCCTGAGTATGCCTTAAAATTTCTTCAGATAACACCATCAAATACCGATCCTCTTGGCTCAGATTATGATAGTAAGGACGTACAAAGTATCGATCCTGAATGTGCTTTAAAATTTCTTCAAACAATACCATCAAATACTGACCCTGTTGACTTCTTACGTCAATCCGAAACATTTTAAATATATTAAAAGATGATCATAAAAATCTTCAACATTTTGATAAAAATAATTAAAGGATATTCATCATTAAAATTAGATAATTTAACACTCTTTTAAAAAATTAAATGGTTAAAACCAGTTCAATTTAAACAATTACAATTATATATATAAAAATTGGATGGATTAAACCATATATAAGGCCTGCCATCTTCTTATTTTTATTCAGATTATATTCTTGCCCTCTCTTCTTATTTTTATTCGAATTGTACCTTCCTATTAAACTTTTCTTCCTCTTTTATTTAACGCTTAGAATTGTAATGCAGAGCTCTGATGACTGTTTAATTATTAAATAAATAACACGAAACGCGTTGGCGAAATTAAAACTCTACATTTTATTGATTTATTTAAAAGCACAATACTTCAAAATTATTTAACTTCGACAAGAAGATCGATTGCTGAAAAGCAAGAGTTGAGACTAGCAGATTGATTTGTCCTAAAATTACAGGTCCGTCTGTTTTTCAATTGATTTGCCCAGAATTGAAGTGAGAAAAATTCCTTTTTGTTTTTGTTTAGTTAATATGTTTAAGTGAATGTCCAATAAATATTGAAAATCAATTAGAATTTGTTAAAATTCATGCAGCTGATGATTTATTTCTTCCAAATCTTCATACTGAATTATATGCATTAGGTCAATAACTAATTTATTATTTACAAACATGATCATCAGATTTTCAATTAACTCATACACGTTATTATTATTTAACATATGGAATGATTTCACATTGAATTGAACTTATTCAAAATGATTTATTAAAACATGAACAATGTCTTATTGATTTGAATAAAACAATTCATCGACTTTAAAATGAACATCAACAAGGAATTAATCGTTTAGTTGATCATTATTTTCATCGATTTAATCAAGGTGAAAAACCTACATCATTTATTCCCTATGCATAAAATCAACAAGCAGATTCTATTCTTCTTAGTCTTTCAGTAATGTATTATTCTGTAACACAATTAGTTCATGCAATATTAAATTTAGGCACAACAATTCATGAAGTTTTTGAATTCGAAACAACAGATTTATATGAAACTTTTTAAAAAAGAATATTTATCACTTCAGTTTTAATGTTTATGTCATTTCGAAATTCTATTAATATAACTTTTTTTATTCTATGCATAGACTGATATATTCTTCCCTATGCATTTATTGGAGATATGGTATGATCTGTGAGAAGATATGTTACACACATAATGTCTTCGAAAAATCTTTAGTCTTAAATTTCGTTTCTGTAGGAATGAAATGGACATCATTCGATAGAGCGAGCTTATCGATATGCATTTAGTATACGTCATTTCGTACCTAATACAAGTAATGGATCGAATCGTTCTACGAACTACTGTAGAATCGATCACTAACTTCCCTTACATAACTTCGTCGTCTCAATAAGACATTAGTGAAGATTTAACATTATAATAGAAATCTTTAAAAACTTGAACTGTAATAGGAAATCGAACTAAATTTCGAACTTTAATTGGAAGAATCGTATAAGTAACAGAGTTATTCAAATATAAGAAAAGCACATTTTGAAGTAATTCATGCAAATAGTATTGTCATCGATCGTCGACAGACGCATAATCTCTAGAGTAAATAAGACACATCATTAGTAAAAATGATTTTTTTCAATCTGAAACTTTGATAAACGAAAATCAAACTAGGTGAATTTGATCAAAAAGCAAGAGGTGGATGTGGGTGTAACAAAAGAGAACAACGTATCACGCCTATATCTTCGTCTTATCACTGATGGGAAGTGAAAAAATCAGATCCTACATCAATAAAATAGTCGGTCCTTCATTAGAACAAATAATTAGAATTCCGTCGTTCTCAAGTTTCATCATCTCATAGATGAAGTACGTCGTCTTTCCTAAGATATTCATCTGCCTGCATTTCTATTGATAAATGAGATAATAGTTTAGTGTTGAAATCTTTCATTCGTCTTAATATATTCATCAAGAAACGATATGGATACTTCTGCAACGATTCACATACGATTATTCGTGCTTGTGAAGACATCTTATGAGTGATATTCACTTGTATTCTTCTCTTACATTACCATCGTGAATAAATAATATGAAGGTTCTTATTGAACTTATCTTCACTTTCAATGTAATAATCTATTATGTTCGCATTTGATTGAAAGTTTATTCTATGAAACTTTTGATTTTCTCGACATAATAGGAGTTTATATTTTATAAGCATACTTTGAATCAATAGCAAGGAACCATAATCTCACAACGCGTTTTGTTATCTTTTGATTACATTACTATCTATATTATCTCATCTTCAAAAATGTTCACAGATTTTGGTGATTTGGATTTTGTGTCTGTATTTGAAATACGAAGAGCGGCAATATGGAACTTTTAATTTATTTTGAAATCAATAACAATGATAAAAAACCTTCATTTAGTCCAATCAAAGCCAGAATCATGATCATTTTCATTGTCGCTTGTGATGCCCAGTTCTTTATTCCACCACGTGTGTTCTTTTGGTATACCTTCCAAACAGGGCAATTCCCACTTATTGGGATTGTAAAAGTCGCTGTCAAACTCCCAATCATCCACAGAGTTCGTGAGAAAGATCTGTTGCCATTCAATTGTGCTCACTCCTTTCTGAAGCTCAGTACTCGGACCGGAACCTCGCATTATCTCATATAACTGCATCAGATCGGTGCGGATAAATTCAAAAGCAGAAAGATATAATTTTACAGTGTACAAGTTGGCAGCACGTGGAACTGAAGTAATGCCCTTCAACTTGGCGGCAAATGCTATGATTCCGGGCTCAAACTGCTCCTTGAAGCAATCTTCTTCTTCTTTATTGGCCCAAACTTCATCTGACAGCATTCGTCGTAACCGAGCAAATTCATAAACACTTCGACAAAATCTCCACGCAGCATTTTGTCCTTCAAGGTCGTTTTTAGTCGTCACCAGTGAGTTCAAATCCGTGAAAAACTTTGCCCGTGCCATTTTAAATGTTTCTATTCTGTTATTTGTCATGATAGTTGAATCTAAAAACCAAAAAAAGTTGTTTTTATGACAGTTATGAACATAATACCTCACTTTGAATAAGATTTTCTATAACACAAGTAGAAGTATGCAGATGGACGTTGAAAAAGTATTGCATTTAGTCAAGTTTTGATCTGAAACTTAGTTCAAATGGAAAAATCTAATCATGAAACAATCAAAATAAGTAAGCTGTAGACTTTTCAACACACAATATATCTTTATCGCAATCAAACACAGATATTCGAAAAAAAATAAAAGATTCAAATGTACTGAATCAACAATTCACGGAAAGAAAGTTCATGTTTTGGAAAACATTTGTTAAGATGTTTCATCTTTTCCATTAAGCTCTCGTAAAAGAAACAAGCATTGATATCATCACTGCCAGAATACTTGATAAAATCAGTTCGGCAAATAAACAATTGATCATTGATACATCGCAACTTGACCTTCAGTTTAGCCGTGTCTTTGGTTGCAAACTTGACAATTGGTTCATCCTTTCCAAAGTCGTCGTTTTCGGCATATACAAACAGCCAAAAGCCTGTTCCATAATTGTTGGCACTAAAAATCGAATGAACAGTACGTGCAATTGGCTTCGCAGCAGCTAATGGTAATGGGAAACCAAACTTGATTGCAAATCGTAAAAGTTCTTTGTCATTAGGATTTGAAATCAGCATGTTGATGACTGTTTTATGAAGTTGGTGAAGGAGAAATTCAGCATGCTTTTTACTCTGTGTGCTGGCGTTGAAATCAGAAATTGCTTTTTTCAGAGCAATATCTTCTTTGCTAAATACAGACATTGTTGCTAGTTGAGGATGATTACGACAACTTTCGAGAAATGCTGATGTTAGTTTGATTGTAGGATCAACAAACACAGAATCGACAAGTGTTTTTAATTTTTCTTCCACAATATTAATAACAAAATTATCCGATGGTGATACATTTGGATTGTTATTCTCAATAGTTTCTTGAATTTCTTCGTAAACCATTTTAATCGACTCTACGAAATGGTCGAAGTTATGCTTGATCTGTGATAAACCTAATTCAGAAAGAGATAACGTGGCGAGATTGGCATTTCGTTGAACAGCATAATGTTTAATAACTTGAAAAAATACTACTTTAGTGATATTAGCTAAAACTGCTAAGTGTTCAGTTGCTTCAGTTTTGAACTTGGAAATGGCTTGACCACTTTCAAGAACAGCTGGGACATCAGCATGTCTAAGAGAATTGTAATTATTACGAAAGTATTTGCGGACAATAGTCCTGATAATTGGTCGCACTTGTGACAACCAAGATTCTGCCGATTGAACCATATATTCACGCATTTTCTAAACAAATTATTTTATATAAGAATTATTGAAAAATAAGATTGACAAACCTGTTCAAAGACATTATCATTGTTTTCTATACGGTTTTCACCTAACACAGCATTGTCATAACTTTGAAGGATGAAATGTTCGTCGATGATACCTCTTTGTTCAATTGCAAGACGTCTGGCAGCAAATCTGCATTGATTGTAGTACAAGTAACTTTCCGCAGATGCAGTGACGAAGGCACTCATTTTTTTGTACACATTCTTGGCAGCATTCATTGCATTGCTGAACGCTTGCTTGGCTACTGCGAATACCTTTGTACTAGCAATATGCTGACCAACATCCGTCGCAATATTTCCAATAGCAGTTCCAACAGCGACAGTGGTGTCTGCAATAACAGTTCCAACAGAAGTAGCAACATTACCCACAGCCTTTGCAGCAGCGGTGATGCCAGTTTGATCAGCCACTGTGACTATGGTATCTCCTACGGCTTGTGCAGCATTAACGATTTGTTCACCGACAACAGAGGTAATGTCCTTAACGGTTTGTGTTGCCATTTTGACAATTTCCGAATCTGCAATCACATCTACAACTGCTACAACTTTTTCTTTGATCGCTCGTCCTGCAGCAATTCCACATTCAGCAAAATAATCAAATGCATCAACACAATATTCGATAAATGGTGACACAAAATTGCAAATATCACTTCCAATAGAATAGAAAAAGTTTCCAACAGCTTTGACTTGACTCCACACAGCCTTGCTTGCTTTAACCACATTTTTAATAACAAAATTTTGCAATGACCAACCAATACTTTCACCTGTTTTCGATATAACCATCAGAAGACCATTTTCAATGATTGCCTTCATATCAGAATCGATTGTATAACCTTGAGCAGTGAAGTAAGTAGCAAAAGGTACAAATTCCATATGATAATGAGTCTGATCCCAAAGTTTAGTTCGATGAGTATTAATAACTGCTATTAATTCATCCTTGTATTTGTGTTGATCAAGATCTAAGAACAAGTAATCTTCTTGTGAGATACATGATTGCTGTCCAATGCCAGAACTGAGAAGCTCTTCGTAAAGTTCATCTTGAGGATTTTCTTGCAAGAAGAGTTTCTTTGGAGTTGTTGGATCATGAATAGATTTATCAAGTGCAATACATAAATGTTCAAGTGCAAAAGAATATGCAAAACGATCGCTAAGGAATTCATCGATTTCATTAGCAATTGGTGATGGTAAACATGAACAATCGAGTTTTCCATACAATCGAAATTTGGTAAAGAAAAATGGAACGAGTAAATTTTCATTCTTGAGTAATTTGAAAAAAGTTAATAGTTGGTCATTGTTAGTGAATGCACAGTAATGAGCAATAATTCCTGGTGTTACATTTTTCAGTATTGGTAGATTTCGTATTTTAATCAAATTATTAGCATGTTTAGCAATTAGATTAGTTTCATCTGTAATTTCTTTATTCGCATAAACTTCAACTTTTTCCTTCCATAGTTGATCATCTTGTGTTAATTGATGCATTTCCATTGTATCTCGTTTCACCACTCCATGTTCAGTTAATACATCAATGATCCACGCTGCAGAAACTAAATCTATATCGAAGAAATCCTTAATATCAGTTGTAGTCACTCCATCGAAAGTATCAAAATATCCAATACGACGTAAGACATTAACGTTGATCTGTCCAATCCAATCATGTCTTATTACTTTTGATTTAACAAGATCTTCAAGTTCCTTTAGATACCTTTTATCATTCATAGCAACAATATCAGAATAATCGTACATTAGACCATGTTTAGTTTCATTACTAAGTCGAATTTGATATCGTAATGTTTCAAGATCAAACTCCGGAATAGGTTTGAGGTTTGTCATCCATGTCGGTAATTTATCTTTGAAATCTTCATCGATCAGTAAAACATGTTCAATTCTTTCTTCAAGTTCCAATTCTTCATTATCATTCTCAGTTTTCTTTGCGTGTACAAATACATTCAATTTTTTGAATTGCATCCAAAAACCAATTCGATGAGAAAGATTCACATGAGCAGCCATAATATTCACATCCAGTACAGTATCTTTATCGAAAGATTCACTTCGAGCATCTTTCTTGATTCCATCAATTAGGTAGGCAATATTTTTGTTAGATAATTTGAATTTCTGTCGAAGAGGATTTAATTGCCAATTTTCGAATTGATAATTCGAGATTCGAACTGGACTGATGACACCTTGACGAACGAATGATTCATAAATTTCATGAGCGTATTCTTTAGGTACGCCTTCTGTAACAAACATATCCGATCTAAAGGAACAAAACTTAATATAATATAAAAGTATGAGAGGAACATACCTGCATGGAATTCCAAGAATCCAATCGATATTTGCAATAATAAGTTCATATGTAGTTGTAATTGCTTTCTGTTGTTCCAAAAATCCGCAAGTTTTAATGTGATTCGGAGCAGATGCATCAAGAAATTGTGCGACAATCTTTGCTTCTTGTTGACGACGTTGAACTCGATTTGTAAATAATGCTCGTGATTTGCGAAAATATTCGATAGCATATTCAATATTTTCCGGAAAACTTTCTGTTGACACGATTGCGATTGAATCCAATGCAATTCGTGTTTTCGTCCATTGACACATTCTCATACAAGCTTTGAAATAATAAACTTCCGCACCAAATTCATAACCATCAGCAAGAATTCGATTGAACGTCTCTTCAGCTGCTTGAAAACCATTGTTATGACTCATTTGAATAATTCCAAGTGTAATAAGTGATTGAGGAAAATCAATCCATTTCTTGGCAATTTCATAACAATTTTTATCATCATCGATAGGATGTGCTTCGAGAAAATCATCAACAGATTCGATGATGGCTTCTTTTTCTTTTTGAGAATGATTTTTAGCACAGTGATTGATAAGAGGTGCATTTCGATCTAACCATAATGCCCACTTGTCCAACAAGGCAAAGTAAACAACTTGAGCGGGTGTTGGCAATGCATCTGGAGTATTGGTACTTTTCGAAGAATAAATAACACTAAGTGCTTGACTACAATGATGTCGAAACTTTTCAAGACATTTCTCTTCGGTTCCAGTATGAAAATCGTAAAATGATTTGAGAGAAGCTAAACGATGCACTTCCTGATTATCACGGAACATTTTCAGTTGAAATACTGATGGTTGCGTACCATCATCTGTTGCACGCATAGCTATGATCTGTGCAGATCCTGGTTGTCCGCAACGTGCTGCACGTCCAAATGCCTGTTCTTCTATACGACAATTGGCCGGTAAGAACGCGGTAATTACGTGTAATCCTCTTGCATGAACTAATTCACGGCTAAGTTTGATATCTGTACCTCGTCCTGCCAAATTGGTAGCAATGATCAATTTGCTGCATTGAAGTTCAGAGCCCACATCGAATTTAAACTCATTGAATTCTCTTTCATAGATAGTAATACTTTCAAAACATGTTTTTATTTCTTTTGTTGGTTTCGTTTGTTGTTGATATTGAGATTGAAGTTCTGATTGGACCATTCTCACGTGAGCAATAGATTCACAAATAATTAATACGGAACGTTTTGCATTAACTTGATCACATACTTCATCGAATAAACTTTGAAGCCATTCAGTCGTATTAGTGGCAATGACGGGAACATGTTCATAAAAGACTTTAGGTTTGAAAGTTGGGATCTTGACGAGATCTGCATTGTAAAGATCGATCAACGTTTGACTTTCATGCATTGAGCCCAAAGTTCCACTCAGACCATTAATCCTTTGATATCCCTATAAATTGACAATATAAATTAGTATATGTCCTAGACATAACTAAACTTAGTCAAAATTCGCTTATAATTGGGCGCAAAACCAAGATACAAGTTGTTGTTTTTTGAGTAGTTAAATGCTAGTTGTCATTCACGTAATTTAGATAAATGTTTCAGCTATGATGAATACAAAGAGACAACGCAGATAAATAGATAGTAAAAGTACTTTAGAAGTATACTGAATTCCTAGATAGTCATAACAGTAGTTTCAAGAGAGACAAGATCATTCAACAATTGATAGTTGGTTGAATAAAGTTAGAAAAATATGGATAAGACGGAACCATATAACCATTAAATCGCCGCAACCTGCTCGTAAGTAGAAAATATTCTAATTGGCTGCAATTGTGACAAGAGTCAGTCATAGAAACTGCAACTAATTTTGAGAACAAACACATTTTCTTACCAAAGCTGAACACATCTAAACAATTTTTAATACATCCTCCTCCTCCTTTTTTGGTTGGACTATTGACGTGATGCTCATTACGATCGCTTATAACTCGCGAACTATACATTCTTCCCAACTAAGTACAATTTCTATTGACTAGCACTGGAGAACTCTACATCTTCCAAAACTTTAGTTCGATTTCTATTGAATACAAATTGCAAACTACATTTTACAAGTTTAGTTTAATTTTAATTATTTATTAGAATTTTTTCAACTTTACCAAAAGTGATACTTGCTGAAAACTATGTTTAATTTCATCTAGCACATCTACATACCTTTAGATATGCAACATTTGAAACGAATACAGCTTTTAAGCTAGTCGGTGATAATCGACAACCATGTTTGATTTGTAAAAATTGATGCAAACCTCCACTCCATTGTGACGTTGCTAAATCAGCACCCGTATTTGAATCGATAATTGTAATTCGTGGTTCGATGAAACTACTAGCTCCAGTATGATCAACATCGACGACATATTCATGATCACTTTCCATAAACATAGCATTCTTACTATTCTTAATAAATTCATCCAAATGCAGTTGTACAAAATCACGTAAACATTTCGGTAAATAGATTGTACGTTGACGACCGAGAATAATACGAAATGTATTTTTAAGACGAATAAGAAATACTTGATCATCGTCAAAATGGTTATCTAACGTAGAACATTGATCTACATTCGTGATCTTCAAATATCCGTTTGTATCAATGAATTCATGTTGGTTCAATTTATTAAATGCTTCTTCAACATTTTTCTTTGTCATTCGATGTGATTTCAATTTCATCAAGTCTGTTAATTGACCATAAATATCTTGCATCACTGCTTGTTTAATTTTTCTATCATCGAATTGAGCCTGTGTGATTTCTAAATCAGTTTTAATACCATTGAAGATAGGTAAATAGACTTGTTTCTGAATAAAAACAAGCAAAGAATCAAGTAAGTTAAGTCCAGCAACATTGTGTGATAAGTAAAGCATGTTGTTGCCATTGTCTAATAACATATTATCAACTTCATCTACTACAACTGCATCACGTGTTCGATCACCAAGTACATTCTTTTTATAAAATGTATGTAGTAAATAATCACGTTGAAAACGAGCAATATCACCAT